CCCCTGGGCCTTAGGTTGCCTACCCCTGATCTAAGGATTTTGTCACACCAGTCTGCTGTCCTGCCACAAAAGTTTAAGAATGGAACTATACCGGGTGCTTGAACCAATTTAGGCCCAGGAGAGAATTTTTTTGAAACAGAAGGTGAACCAGAAATGACTTTACTCATTTCCTGTTGCTCAAAAAAAAAGCCGTCTCCTATGCCTAAAACAGCCCATGAAGGCCCAGTCACATAATGAAAATGTCCCCTATGCCCCCTAGAAGGCATTTAGAGTCAAAACAGTTTTGACTATTTTTTGCAGTGGTGGGGAAGATTGGGGAGTGTAGTCCTCCAAGGTCTTTGGGTAGGCTAATGCAGCTCATAGCTTTTCACAGTTGCCCACCCCTGAGCCAGATAGCACTCTGAACTGGTTCCGTGTACAGCAGCTAGAGTTTGTGGTTACTGTGTGGCTTCAAGTCATTTTCTGACTTATGAAGACAGTGAACCTATCACTGGGTTTTCTTGGCAAGTTTCTTCATAGGGGGTTTACCTTTGTCATCCCATGTCTGAGAGTGTGTGACTTGTACAAGTTCACCCAGCAGGTTTACATGGCCCAGCTGGGATTCGAACCCAGGTCTCCCGAGTCATAGTCCAACACTCAAGCCACTAAACCACACTGGCTCCCACAGTAGTATAATGCAATCCAGAGACGAGATGCATGGCAAAAGGAAAGGGAATGTGTCCTTTCACATGTCCATATATCCACACCCCTAGGCCTTCTGTACAGATACTGCAAAGAATCCAATGGTGACCTTCAAATTAAAACTACTCAAGAAAATTAGCAGCCCATCTCTTGAGCCATACAAATATCACTACTACGGGTTTGAGTGCATGCACAGACATGTCAGCCTTCATCTAAGCACTGCCACTTATGATTCAAAGGACAAAGAAGAGAGACAAGTCAGTCATTTCATGTTAGCATGCACAGGAACAGGGGATGATGGCAAAAGGACACACACACAGAGGAGTGCACTGTTCCATTCAAGAAAGAACTTTCAAAAGTAACCCAGCCACAATGTGGAAGAAAACAAGCCCGTCACCTGGTTCTGAGCAAATTCATTCACAAATGTTCCAACTGAGAAAGTTATTTTCCAAAAGTATTTAGTTACAGTTACCATGATAGTTGCAATGTGTAAAAGCAATTCTTTAGTTTCCTATTTCTCAAAAGTAATCACAATGTTACTGAGCCAGCACTTGAACTATTATTATTTGTATGGCAATAAGGATTCTTTTATTATATGCAATGTGCCATTGTCTTTGTTCAGACCTCTACTAATGGATCAGAATTTATGAATTTCTCAGACAGAATGTCAGACATAAATATGATATTTCTGTCTGACGAATCTGACATTAGAAATTGGCAATGCCCAAAAACCAGTTGCAGAACATTTCAATCTTACTGGACACTCAGTAAGTGATTTACAGGTTTTACAGGTTCTTTGAACAAGGAAATTACAAAGGAATACTAGAAAGAGAAACTGCTGAATTGAATTACAGTCACAAATTCCAATCCATTAAGTGTTAAGTTCAATTGATTCAATGGATGTACTCTAGCTAGTACTAACAATTGCATTTGGAATAGGGGAGAGGTATCACAAGTAGCCATTGAAATGCTATTGAACTGCAGTACCCACCAGACTTAGAGGGGAAACAGATCAGCAAAATGCGGTGTTTTCCTTGTGGCTTGGAGGTATGGCATATGCATGACACACATACACCCATGCCACTGGGAAAATGCTGTGAAGCCACCCTGAGCAACCACACGTCATTGACATTTCAGCAGTATGGAGTTTAGATGCTTCTTTTTGGAGTGGAAAGACACCAGATCGAGGCTGCAGCATGTGGTTGCCACAGCCCTGATCTGGTGCTCAAAGGGACGGTGCAGAAACAGCCTTTAGGGGCTGTTTCACCCTATACTTCTTCCACACTGCAGAAATAAAGCAGTTTGACAACACTTCACTGTCATGGCTCCTGGGATTTGTCGTTTGGTGAAGTATTCAGCCTGTTCTATCAGAGAACTCTGCCTTTTCACCAAACTACAAATCTCAGCATTCTTTAGGATATAGTTATGGCAGTTAAAGTGGTGTCAAGCTGCTTTATTTCTGTAGTTTGGATACACCTTTAGCCAACATAGACAATGAAAGAAATACTAGGAGTAACCATCCACCAATATCTAGTCGCCCCACCACATTCAGGCTGGAAAAAAATTAGCCCATTATTCATTATTCATTATTGTAGAGTTAAATTATTCTACAATAATTGAGCCACT